GACTGACCAACATTCTGCATGAGTCTTATCTTGCATTAGATTAAATTCAACGCAGAATCATCAGGGAGAATGTCGGCGTTCGGACACTTTGGAGACGTCACTGATAAGTGGCAGAATATCTCGTTTTTATTTTGTGCTTCTGTGATGCTGTGCTGATTTTGTCAGGCTGTAAAGTTCCCTTGGCTCAGTTAAAAAAATAATTTTGAATTAATTCTGGTAAAAGCTCTTTTGTGTATTTTTTTTATATTAATGTGGTAAAAATGAATTAATTGTGGAGAAAATGCAAATCCAAAGCTGAATAAACTAGTCATTTTGGTACATTTAACATTTTGAAGATTATTTTTTGCGAGGAAAAAAAATAATCTTCCCATAGTCATGTCAAAAAAAAAAATTTAGGACACCTCCATAAAATATTCAGTTTTAATTCAAAAATATTCATGTAATGATGTCTAACCTCTTTTCTTTCCTCTCTGGAAAAGAAAGGGACTTAGCTGCAGTTAAGAAAACAAGAACTTTGTTTTTTTTTTACTTATTTAACAAAAAATATCAACAAACTTGGGGTCTCCACATTTTGGCCAACTCACATCCCAGCCACATTAGTGAGACACTTATTGCTCCACTCCTCACTTTCAGCTGAGAGACGCTTGAAGGTTTTCTAGCATGAATGACCCATTTTAAGTTCCCTCACATCACCTCCATGTTGATCAAGATCTGGGCTTATCTGGTCTTCGGTTGTTCACATTAACTGGATAAAACCATGCTAAGCCACATGCTAACCTGTGTGACTTTTATAAGAAATTAGAGCCCAAACTTCTGAATCTTATCTTAATAGTCACTTTTATAAGGAATAAAATCGATCGGTTGATCAGTTCTTGACCAACATGGCACTCTGAAATGTTTTATCAGTGTCAACTGATTAATGTCTAATTCTGCATTGGCTTATAACCGAGCCCAAATCATCCACCCTCCACCACTGTGCCTAGCAGTTGGAATTGTTTTTTTTTTTTTTAAATATAAAAACCTCTTCAGACCCCCGGAATCATTGGATGCAACAACTCACACTTTACTGCTTTGCTGATGTTGATAAAATCTCTTGTTTACCTTCTTCCAAAGATAAATGACTCTTTTTAGTATTTAAAGCTTTAGAGATGGGGATGGAGAGCCCCCTTGTGGTGGCTTATGGTCATAGCAGCCTAATTCAGTTGTAAACAGCTGCAGATCATTTTACACTTTAACCACTGCCTAGGCTTGCAGACTTTTTTTCTTTTGGCACGAAGAAGATTTCATTTTTTTGTATCATTAACTCATAGCTTCAGTAAAGAAATTGAGATATGGGTCACCAGTAAATTATATAAACAGCTCATCTATCACACACACAGCTTTAAGGCAGCATCTTTACAGGATGCTAATTTATTCGGGTGTTGATTCTCAAAGTTCACACCAAAAAATGTTCATCTCTGGGACACAGGAGCCGCCTCCCTTCTGAATGTCATAATAGCTGGACATTCCCATGCTGTCTACACTTGTTTAGAGTTACTTAAACAAATCATCACGACACCTTCAGACATCTGGAAATTGAACGCAACGATGAACCAGACTCCTCATCTTTGTGTCTTGGCTGATTCCTTTTGATTATTTTCCCATGATGATCTCGCAGAAAAGCGTTGCCATAAATGCTTCCACTGAACTCGAATACTACGTATTAACCTACCAGACGTTTACAAAACCCACAGCCTCCTCTTGCTTTCCCCAAATTATTTACAGTTAAAGTAATCTCGCAGATTCCGATGTAAACTTCGACATCTGAATCATAGTTGCTGTCGGCTGTTCTCGACTCGCACTGCAAGATTAAAAGAAAATCAACTCGTGTTCAGATTAAATTATGTGAGAAAGGCCCACATACAGCACAAGCTGCCTAAGTACCCCAACCATCTCGAGCTCCTATTCTTCTGTTGGGGAAAAAAAAAAGAAAAAAAAAGAAAACATGTGGTGAAGTTTCAAGAATCTGATTTCTGCTTTGATTGAAACCAGATGTGGGAATGAGGAGCATGTTTTCAGCCTGATATTATTCATGGGGTCTGCAGGGGTTTGGTAGGGGGGGAGCTCACCACCGCTCCTGCATGCCTGACTGTGTTGTTGGAAGTGGAAAAGGCTTCGGCTGTTTTTTTTTTGTCTCTTGAAAACATTAGCTCCTAAAGAGCTCTGGAGACAGAAGGATCTCCTCAGTTTGTAATGCAAGGCATGTGAGGCGGCCTTGACCCGATTAAAGCGTGAACAGAAAAGAGGTGGTCAGACCAGAAAAAAAAAGAAAGAAAGAAAAAGATGCTGTTATATCAGCTGAGATATTGGTGTCATCACGACAAGACGTTAAAATCAGGCCTTGAGTTTGTCCTGTGTCAAAGAAAGCTCTGTGGACTTATCTTTGACCTGGAGAGACTCGCAAACATGTGACAGAAAAAGCATAAAGGTTTATCACACTGAGATAAGTGCTGTAGAAACAAGGACTAGCATCCATTTGTGATGGAAACTTTGTCCTGTTTTCCACAGATTGTTTAGTGAGTAATTGTCCACAGTTGACAGGAGGATGATTTATTTCTTATAAGGTTGTAAGATTGACTAACACTTTGTTTTTCTTCTGAAGTAAATCTGCGTTACTCTTAACTAATTTCACTTTTTGTAAAATAAATAAATAAATAAATAAAAATAATAATTTTACTAATTTTTTTCTGATAAAGATCTGAAAGGTGTGATGTGTGTTTCACTGAGATTCAATTGCACACAGGTGGACTTTGACTTCGGAGAACAATTCATTTTGCCTGAATTTAAAGAGGTTGCACTCCATGTTTAAGATATTTTATTTGCGGGATATTTTTTGAAAACTACTCTTTTCTTTTCACAATCACGCACGACTTTCTGTGGATTTATCGCATACAATCTCAATTAAATACATTGAATACGTTCAACTATGGACAACCCTGAATATCCCCTTTATGAGTAACTTCAGTCAGAGGCCTTTCCAGATCTGCTGTTACACAGACCACTACAGCATCTATTACAACTCTGGACGAGTTAGAACAGAGATATAGCTTCTTTATTTTAAACATAAGATGTTTTGTGGAAAGAGATGAGTTGAAATCTTTAATTTAATCTTGGAGCATCTTAGAGAAGATTTAATCAGTTGCTTCTCTTGTTCCTCTTCTGGGCCTCTCCCCAAACCACTGAGAGGGTGAATAATTACCCAAGATGCAGAACGTCGTAATCTTTTTTTCTTTTTTTATAGGAAGCACAAGTGGAGGTCCCATTTCCTCTTCAAGTAGGTGGTCCACTAGCTGAGTTACTTCCAGTTACTTCAGACAGATTTGATATTTTATTGGTTTGAAGATTAAATCTGTTTTTTTTTTTTTTTTACCTTTAGCAAGTAAAACTATGTTGCTTTGTTTCCAAGTTTAATCACATGCTTCGGGCTGCGGAGCCGCGAAGCCACACTGTAGGTTGTTCACAGTTGCTGCCAGAGGAGAACAAGGGGAGGCTCAGATTTCTTGGCCTGAGATTTTTCTCCGACTCTCCGGTGCTGCGTTCAGGGGCCGCAGAAAACATTGAAATGACCAAATACGGTTGGATCAGAATGACATTCACAAAAGCAGAGGTTTCTCCTCAAGCCTGACATTAAAATATTTCGTTGCTTTCTTGCCTATTGTATGTGGAGATCAAAGGAGTGATAGTCTGCTCTGACTTCCAGTTGTAAATAAAACACAGCATACTTATACATTTACAGCGACCATATTGGATTTTAAAGTCAAGGTTGGAGAGAAACATATTTCCAAAGTTGTAATTCTGAATTTAGGAGCACATATTTGTTTATGAATTGGCATTAATGATCAGTTTACTATGGAAGCCCATTTCCGCCATGAAAGAAAAAATAAAAGACCAACAGGAAGTCATAATGTCGACTTTCAAAGTCATAATTAGGAGATTAAAAGTCATAATTAGGATTTTGAAAGTCGAAATTATTACTTCGAAAGTCGAAATTATGACTTTAAATCTCATAATTATGACTTTGAAATTCGAAATTATGACATTAAATCTCACAATTATGACTTTGAAAGTCAAAATTATGACTTCCTGTTGGTCTTTTATTTTTTCTTTCATGGCGGAAATGGGCTTCCATAGTTTACCCCAATTCCACTGTTTTGAAATTAGCATTTCAATGTGACTATATGATTGGAGTATTGAATTGATATGGACTGAACTGGATCAAAGTTTGTTTGTCGAGTGCTGGGATAGACAAAAATAATCTGATTAAAAACAGATGTCAAATAATTATTTTTCTAGATTATCTTGATTTGATATTAAATAATTTTTTATGATCTGAAACAAGTATGGCAATTAAAAAAAACAACAAAAAAACAAAAAAACTAGACCTGTCATGGAAATGCACAACTGCACATGAACTGGAATTGTTTGTCTCTAGATGATATTTATTGTGACCTAAACAAAACTGAATTGTATTAATTAGAAGCAGAGTTCACACTGCAAAAACACAACATTTTAAGTAAATCTCAAGTATTTTTGGTCTTGTTTCTTGTGTAAATATCTTGGTGCACTGAAAATAAAATAAAACTAACTTGTAGTTTTATTTTTAGTAATTTCAGTAATTTCTTAGTATTGTTGAAAAAGTACTAGCTAAAAGTGAAATAATCACTTACAGCTAGAAACAAGACATAATTAGATGTGACATACATCGCATTTCCCAAATGTCTTGTTCTAATGGTAGATTATTTCACTTATGACTAGTATTTTTCGTGGATATTGACTCAAAACAACCTTCTGTGTTGTGCTGAAAAATTACTTGTAAATTGGTTTTGTCTTATTTCAAGCGTACTAAGATATTTTCATTATAAACTAGACAAAAAAAAAACAAACAAACAAAAAAACTCAGTAAGATTTTGTGTTTTTGCAGTGAAATTTAATTTTGATACTCGTTTAAAAAAAAAAAGAAAACGTTTGGGGAATGAAGAAAAAAGGTCTGGTTTCTAACATGGAACAAAACAGAACAAAGTTACAGTCATCTAAATGAGGAATGCAGAAAGTCGGAGGGGTCCATGAACGCACCGTTGAGTGACACTCCAGCAGCCTAATCCAGAGAGTGAGGATGCGGAGCGGCGCTCTGGGTCGATTCAGCGACCTTTAACTTCTAATTTCAGGGCAGACTGGAGAAACCCCGCCGAACTTTGTCCCTGAACGCTCCGAGTCCCACATTTTCAGTGCCAGCTGTGGGTTTCATCGGCACCGTCTTCCTCCCGAACCGGACTTTAGTAGACGTTACGTGGGGACAATGGAATCCAACATTATCCCGGACAGTATCCGCCCTCAGAGGCTGCAGCCGGGGATTGGCTTCGGATCGGGACCGACGGGGACCCTCCGCTCCTCCTCTCTCCGACCCGGAGTCACGGTCCCGGTCGCGCCGCTACTCCCCTCCCCGGCCTCGCTGTCCGCTTCGTCCGGGCCTCCTCCTCCTCCGCCGCCGCTGCAGCTCCACAGCCTGTACGGAGGAGTGGGAGCGGGGCTGGGGCCGGGGGCCGGCGGCCACTGCAACCCGGGGAACCCGGCGGTGCTGAAGGAGGCGGTGGAGGCGGTGGTCCGCAGCTTCGCCAAACACACGCAGGGCTACGGCAGAGGTAATGTTATGTAGGAGAAAAAGCCTGTTCACGTCTGTGTTACTGAGTGTTAGTTTTGAATCTGTTCGGAGAACGAGAATACCACAAAGAAAAAAACAGGCATTCCTGTTATAAACCCCAACATGTTTTATGGTGATCTTCCAGTTAACTCCCAGAGCTGACCTACTGTAAACGGTAATCCATTTGTTATAACATTCCCCAGGTAGAAAAATCAACTGTTTCCACAAGTTTGCCTCATTCTGGCAGCAGCCCACCATAACTGGGGCCAGCTCAGACCCAGTAGTGGTTTTAGTGGATTGTGGTTGGTGCAGATTTGGGCCAATTTGGGCTGAGAAGTGGAAAATAAAAATCAGACCACAAGCAGATCGATTGTAATGTGGATGAGATGCAGATGATGTTCGGCAAACATGTCCAAAACCAGAGCTCCAACTCATTCCCTTTGGCTGGCTGAGTATGGAGGAGTATTAGGCAACGACTGGACGTGAAGTTAGGAGGGATGGATGTTTTGCTTCCAAGGAGACTAACTCTTTGGGGCTCTTTTGAAACGGTCTAGATTAGTAGTTTTTGAGGTTTTCTGGTGGTCGTTAGGAGAACCAGACGTGCTTTCTTGTTTAAGTCGCGTAAGTATACGGCCTGTGATGAATCACTCAGACATAAAGGCTCCTGAACCCAAACAGTTTGCAGACAGAAAGTTGGATTTCAGCACCAACAGCTGCTGTCTGGGGAAAATCTTGAAAAACAACAATAGAGCGCGGGAAAAATGTTTGTTGCTTAAAGAAATTACTTCCTCAGCAGATAGTGCTAATTTAGTGTAGATAATTAGTGTCCAATCCACACAAAAGAAGTAAGGTAGGTTGACGGGTCTCCTTGGCTGTCTGCTTTGAAAATGTTCATGGACTCTTTTGCAAGTCAAGGCAAGAACCTTCAGAAATCATGAATAACATTGATTAAGATCTCTTTCAAACTTAAGCTTGACTTAAATCTGAATCAGTGTTGGCATTTGCAGCCACTCTAAGTCTTTCTACTCTGCTCTAATAGGATTTAATCCCAAAAGATTGCCCCTGTGTGCCGCCACTGACAGACCTGTCCCCCTCCTTTTATCCCACTTAGGCTTCTTAACATCTTCAACATTATATTGAGGCTGTTGTGAAAGGATTGGCTGGGAGACAAGACACTTCCTCAAGTTCAAAATCTTTTAGCGCTTGATTTAAACACAAAAACGCTAATAACATTTAGCCTTGTGGTGTTTCTGCTATTCCAGAGTAGCTGTTGCGCTGTGGCTCTCTCCTGCTTTAGTTCCTGTTTGTTTCCGCTTTTATTCCTGAGGAAAAGCTCAGACAAAAGGACTTCATCTTATCACCATCTGCTCCGCTTTGTTTGACCTTCACCTGCTGGAGACATTAATAAGAAACAAATCACCGACTAGCTTGTGGTCACATCATGTTGACTGAATAAATAGGAGCCTGTTTGATTTACAGAATCGGGGTTGCTACGTAGCCTGGAAAAGTCAGAAAGTAATTTGATTTGTTCAGCCCTGCACTGGATAGGTGCAGTGAAAAAAAATATATATTTCCATATTTTTATTTACTTTATTTCCTTCTCTTAAAGATCCATCCATCCATCCATCCATCCATCCATCCATCCATCCATCCATCCATCCATCCATCCAGACATAGCAGCACAAAACAAACAAACAAACAAACAAACAAACAAACAAACAAACAGCTTCAGTTAATAACAATCAAGACGGTCCTATCATAAAAAACAGGAACGACAATGTATTAAGCGAATAAACTGCATAAAAGTCCAAAAGAGTAACAGGTCATAAAATTGAAATGAAGCATCTGCAGCCAGAAGTGGAAGTGTTTAAGTTCCTTAAGAAGAGATTTAAACACCCATCCATTCATAAATAAGTATTTGCACAGTCTCCTTAAGTGTCTGTCTAAGCTTTCTGTCGTTCCTTCCTTCGTGTTCAGTAATCCCAGACTCGGTCCGTGACGTTCAGATCCTCTTCTGTTGGGAAGTGGGGGGCGTTACACCATCTGTCGCAGGAATCCATCTCTTTCCTGAAGTTTCCTCCTTTGAAGCCCGGTGTCATGGTTTGGACATGCCGCAATAGGATTCGGAGACTCCTCCCTGAAGGCGTTGTTGGATGGATGAGAGTCTATAAACATCTCAAAACGCACATAAACTTTATTTTACGGCCGACTAACAACAAGATGAGAGCGTACGCTGGGTGTTTTACAGCCTACTTCAGTGGGAGTATAAAAAATATTATTTGGATTGCAAGCTTGGGAATTTACTTTTCTGGAGCGATGGGTTTCTTTGTAGTTTGCTGACTGGGAAAGCTGAGATTTCTATTGAGCTGCAGAACTAAAAACGCACTGATGTTGCATGAGCGGCCCCGAGCTGAGAGTTTTAATTATCCTGCGCTCACGTCTCTCTGCAGACACAAACTTTTATAACTACAGATCCTTAAGAGAGTATTCCCATTCCTGAATTTAAAAAAAAAACATTTTGTCATGTCGTACCTGCAATACTGTCTTTACTGTCAAAGCTTTGATTGAAACCATTTCGACTCAAGTTTTCATTCAGGACAGTTTTTTGTGTTTTTTAGCTCCTTCCATCGTCACATCAACTCTGACTTCTGTCTCTGTTGCTGCTAAACAAAAACTGTCCCCACAGCATGATGGTTCCCCTACCCTACCATTACTTACCTTCATTTTCACACTTCTGCTCTACTTTGTGTTGCTGTATCACCTTGAAATCTCGACTAAAATACTCTTGACGTTTGTGGTCGTGGCATGAGAAAACGAGAAAAGAAGTACTTTTACAAGGCGCCATGTAACAGTCTCAAATTCAGATTTTACTGCGCTCCTTGGTGGTTGTTCTTTCCCAACTCCAGACAGACATTTCGTATGAGTTCACGAAAAATCTGAATCTGAGCCGAACTAATTTTTCCCTTCAGCAGAGAGGATGTGAAGTTTCCTTCGTGAGGTCACCCCCATCTGTTTTGTGTGTGTGTGTCTTAGTTGAAACAAGGACAGAGTGGCTTTAACGAAGCTCTCCCGTACCTCCCTTGTCCCTTCAGTGAACGTGGTGGAAGCTCTGCAGGAGTTCTGGCAAATGAAGCTGACCAGGGGGGCCGACTTGAGGAACGGAGCTCTGGTCGTTTACGAAATGGTCCCGTCAAACAGCCCGCCGTACGTCTGCTACGTCAGCCTTCCGGGCGGCAGCTGCTTCGGGAGCTTCCAGGTGCAACATCTGCACTTTGTTTCCCCGGATATTAAAAGATTTAAAGATATATATGTATATATATGTTTTTTTTTTTTGTTGCTTGGGGACATCTGGGAAGGAGCTGCATCTTGGATAACCTCCTCTGTGCTGCTCTTCTCTGCCTCGGTCTCTCTGGCTCTCATTATTGCCCTGACTCCGCGTGTTTTCTTTCACTGTTTGACAGTTCTGTCCAACCAAGGCGGAGGCGAGGCGCAGCGCCGCCAAGATCGCCCTCATGAACTCGGTCTTTAACGAGCACCCTTCCCGCCGGATTACAGACGACTTTATCGAGAAGAGCGTGAATGAAGCGCTGGCCTCCTTCAACGTAAGTTCAAAACGGAGAGATCGGCTGGTAGCGCCGACGGTTCGGCCGCGGCTGTTTGTGAGCGAGTGCCGCCCTGGGAGAGCCTCCCTTTCTGCACCGAGAGATGCAGAAGGAGGACATAATCTGAAACCTGTGTGGGATAATTCGCTCCATGTTCTGACTGATCTACTGCAGCCGCCATGCCTGTCTCAATTTAATGTTTTCTCAATGGGGGAAAAAAAACCTGGAAAATATTCCCCTTGTTCGTTCCCAAATAGAATAACGGCTTTGTTACTGTGTTTTAAAGCAGTGGTTCCCAGACATGATGCTCAAGACACGCTGGCCTGCATGTTTTAGATGCTCCCCTGCTTCACACACCCCAACTCATTGCGATTCAGCAAAACCCTGTTAATCAGCCATCAACTGAAATCATGTGTGCTGAAGCAGGGGAGGAAGTGATGCTGAAAGCTTTCAAGGCAGGATGCTTTGAGGACCAGGGTTGAAAAACCTTGTTTCAAAGAATCCACAGCGTAGAATCAAAATCTGGTACAAGTTTGACCGGTTTGTTTTAGATTCGGAACTAGAGCTGATTAAGCGCAGTGTGGATTCCTTAAAAATGGTGAAATATGGAGTTAATTTCCTGCCTTGATGTTGCAAATAAATAAAAGATGTTGCATATTTTAATGTAAAACTAGGGAGCCAATATAGAATTATTGATCAGATATTCCACCCTTTTGTTCTGTGTTGATACTCCATTTATACCACTTTCCAGGAACAATAATCTCTTTTAAAAGAAACCAACTAATAATAGTAATAATAATCTATTTATTTATAATGCCCTTTATATTTCAAATTAAAATCTCAACGGGCAGTATGACAGAAGCGTTATGTTACAATTTCCAAAACATTGTGAACAACATAAAAGAAATCTTCTGCTGATTCCAAAAATGATTTTCAAAAAGATAATTTCTCTCTTTCAAATTTAGATATTCTTTCATTCCTGCTGCTCTGCTGTTTTAAAGTTTCTAGTTTTACTTGTAGCCATTTCCTTATTGAAGATCAACTCACACCTGTCTTATATAAATGATATGATCTCTTGTTTTTCCCATTTTCAATAGTGACTTAGAGAAATTGACCTAGGAGAATTTTTTTTTTTTTTTTTAAGTTTTCCTCTTGAATGTTTTGTGTCTTTGTTGTATTTTGTTTGGATCATCGTAGATTCATTCTGGACCTTTGCCGTGTGTTCACAGGGGAACCGAGAAGAGGCCGATAATCCCAACACTGGGATCGGGGCGTTCCGCTTCATGCTGGAGTCCAACAAAGGAAAATCCATGCTGGAGTTCCAGGTAGGAGAAGCACATCGGCTAAACGTGGATGGCGATAACTCGGAAATGTTAGATGCCAGTATAATTCAGGGTTCCTTTTAGGAAAAGGACATAATTGGATCTCAGTTTTTTTCCGAACATAACTATCCAAAAAGACATTTTGAGAATGGAAAAATCAGTTTTTCCAAATTTTATTCCATATTCCATCATCTACTGTAAATGTTAATGGTATTTTTTGTTTGTTTCTTTATTTTTTTCCCTTCATTTATTTGTTTATTTCTGTCCGTCTGATTCCTTATGCTCTTCCTGAAAGCAGTTCTTCCATCACTGGTCTCTCCTTTCTTTGTGTCTTTCTTTTTTTCCTCGTCATTCTTTCCATCCATTCCTTACTTTCTTCCTTGTGGGCTTATTTTTATGTCAAACATGTGTCCCTCCTTTTTTCCCCTTCTTTCCTCCTACCCTTTGTCATTTCCTTGCTTCTTTCCTAAAGTAATTATTAGTGTCACCTCTCGTGTCCTTTTGTTTCTTCATTTCTTCGTTCCTCCATTCTGTCGTTCATTTGTTGCTTCCTTACTCGTGTCCTGTTTTTGTTCCTTCCTTTTTGTTCCCGTTATGTTGAGTCTGGGAAAAGTCTGGACACTTTTCCATAAAGTAAGCAGAAGCTCTACAGGCACCCTCACTTTTACACAAGTTTAGTTTAGTAGAAGAAGTAACTTTGAAGCTGGAAAATGGATACCTTGTTGAAAACAGGAATCTGAATTCAGTGTGCAGTGCATTAAATGCCTGGTGAGCAAGTTTTTCCCTCCAACTCCTGGTTGTTTGCAGGAGCTGATGACTGTGTTCCAGCTGCTGCACTGGAACGGGAGCCTCAAAGCCATGAGAGAGCGACAGTGTTCCCGACAGGTACCCGTCTCACACGTGGCATCGATTACACACAGCTGGGTTTTAGCTGTCACATAACTTGTTTTTTTTTTTAACACAAGACAAATTATACATAAAATCACTGTGCAAACGAAGGGACCGTTCCTGGTATGTTTACTTCTCCCAGCACTGACAGCAGCTGTGTTGTTGGAGAGATGAAATTGAACTCGACAAGCGTAGGTTTTTGAAAGTTTATATGGTTTGGAGGGAAAAAGTTCAGCGTAAACAACTTTACAGGGTTGCAGGGTTTTGTAAAGCAAACTCGAGTGCAGAATTTGAATTGTTTGCAACAAGAAACCTTACAGTATAAGCAGGGTGAACATGAAGTGAAGGACACTACAAGAACAATGTCTATTAATAGTATTAATTGAACATTTTTAATGTTTAAAAAAAAACAGAAGAGTTTTTACTTCACTAAAGGGTTAAATGTTTGCATTCGGACTCAAACATATGCAGGAATGTCCCAGATTAACCACACATTCTGAAGCCCTCAGTAATATTCTGGCATAATTTTGTCTGAATGTTTAAGCACTCCTTTAATCAGAAATGGTGGAGCTCCTTTAAACCGGTTGGTTTTCTGTTACAAAGCCGACTTTTGCACCGAAACGAATTATTTTTATTTATTTATTTATTTCGAGCATGATGGAAGTATAAAATCACACACATGAACAAGGAATGCAAAATAATCTGCATTAATCTTAACCTGCTCGAAAAGGAGTAGGAAGAAGTAAGAAACTTACAAACTCCTACCCCACAAACCCATACAGTGCTTTCAGATGGACCCTCATCAAATAAAAGAACAAAAAAATAAAAATAAACGTAGATTATTATGCAACTATTCCAAAAAAAGTTCAAATAGATCATTTAAAGCCCCCAAAATTCCTTATGATGCCCGAACCTGCAGGAGGTGCTGGCTCACTACTCCCACCGGGCCCTGGACGACGACATGCGCACCCAGATGGCGGCGGACTGGGTGAACCGGGAGCAGAGCGTGGCGGGAACCATCGCTCAGGAGCTGGCCTCGACGGAGCGGGAGCTGGAGGACGCCAGGCTGGCGGGCAGAGAACTGCGGTTTTACAAAGAAAAGAAGGACATCCTGATGCTGGCTGTGGGTCAGCTCAGCGCCGCCAACGCCGCCACTCTGCCCTCGCACTAAAACGCACCCCCTGCCCCCCCCCTCCCCCCCACCTAGCCACGGCGAAGGATCCCTGGTAACAGTGTTGATCACTTTCTAAGATGTGTTTTGTAACGAGGATCAGGAAATCGTGCTTCAGCTCATGCTTTGTTTATGAAAGAAAACACTTGTTACTGAACTCGTTGTGCCTAGTAACCGCAGGATGCTCTTTTTTATTATTTGCCTGTAAAACTTGGCGTTGCGTCAGAGTATGAACAGGGCTTTTTTTTGTTGTTGTTGTCCTTCATTGTATGTTGTGTTATATTTGTTTCTGGGTTTGGATTTGATGCGGGGGGAATATTACCAAGGGATGGGGAGGATGAAATGAGATGCAAAGAGTCACAAGTATCAGTGGTATTACCCTGAACCTTCTTTATGGATGTTTTTAGTGAAATAGTGAAAATGAATTCAGTTTAGTTGAATTTGAAATCCCCTTTTGTCCTTTGGATTGTCTGTTGGGAAAGAAACTTTTTATTAATCTTGTATTATTTCATAAGTTGGATGTGTTAAAATTCTGTTTCAGAAAAAAAAGCAATTTAAAAAAAGTAGCTATTATAAAAGTACTATTGATCATGTTTTATTATTATTATTATTATTATTATTATTATTACAGAAAGGAGCTTATCTTACTGTCTTTCACACTGAGCAGTGAAAACTTCCACCAAGTTTGAACATTTTCTCTCGTTTAGAGCACAAACACTGGGATTGAGTTTGTAATTAATGCCCTGTTTCCTATTGCAATCTGGAGCAGCCTCTCCCAGTGTGGAAGGAAGTTTGAGTGTTGCAACAGGAAGTTAACAGATTTAGCAGGCAATACATAACTAATAGTGGTTGCAGTGGTCCTGCCAAGATTGAGTGACCATGTTGGCACCAACGACATGTTTTACACAAAGGCAGGCGAAGGCCAGGCCAATGGAGATCGAGAGTTCAGGGTAACTACGTTTTGAGGGGTAAAGGTTCAGGGTGGTATCATTCAGACAAGCCTTAATGATACAGACTTTTGCAACATTTCAACCGGCGACACCGAGTCGGGTTTGTAGCATTTACTCAAGCGAAACCTTGTCATCGATCATTTAATGTCAGGGTCTTAAATTACACATAAACTCCAACATACATGACGATCAGATCCAGTCAGAGGGTGTTTTCTTCCATACGTTATATGTGATCTGTATCACAAAGAAAACCATGGAGAGGATCTCCTTGTCAAGGCAGTTTTCTCAATAACAGTTAAAATATATCTAGCGTTTGAGGAAAATTTACAATTACGATATGTGGGTACTTTTGACTTTGACTGTTCAGTTTAAAAAAAAAAAATCACACGGAGAATTAAGTGTTTGTTGTGTTTTGGTGTTTCTGTATGTGAACGGTTGCGGCTATTTTAGAGTTTTTTTGTATGATTTGTGACCCTGACACTAGTCGAATGTATATTATAGCGTGCTATCAACTTTATTACCGACAAACCAACTCTGTTACACAATAATGGATCATTTTACAGCATGCATGACTTTGTAAATGCAGAGTTAAAAGGTCAGCGGTATAAAGTGAAAATGGATTGTTTTACCATGTTTTGGACACAGATGAGGAAAGTCAGAATATCAACTTGGACCTGAATATATATTTTTGTTTTTGTGTTTTTGTTGAAAATACTCAATGCAGAATTTATTTTTTTTTAACCATTTGAAGCCAACAGATGATAAATGAAGTTGAACTCTTTGTATACTTTTATATTTCTAAGCTAGAAGGATCAAGACGTTTTAACCAAACTCTCAAAGACTGCATGCTAACAAGGAAAGTGTTTAATGGATAAATTGCGGCTCCAGTTTAAGAAAAATGTGGCACAAAAGCAAATTAAACAGCAGGGAGTCACATTCTCTGCTCCTGAAGGTTGAATTCCCAACAGCTGAAACATGTTGCCTTAATTTTTTTTTTAGAGATGGCAAATTAAAAACATGATGGACCAATTGACTGTCATTAAAAGGCAGGGGAGTTTTTATTTTTGTTTGCCTTTACATTGGGATTGTTGTTTTTATAAAATTGGAAACATTTATGTTGGAACTTATAAAACACTGAAATGTTTTAGTTAAATTCATTACACCATCCTAATCCCAGAGACCAGCAAGCATACTTGACTAAATGGAAGAATGTGGTAGGTACTATTTTACATACCAAGGCAAAACTGAAATTATAATTTAAATATAATTTCCTTATTGGAATTGAAACCTCCCTGTAGTCTTTTTTATTTTTTTTTGGCCTGACCACTGGTCCTGTTTGCATTTGTTTCTTTGAATATGAACATTCTTCTGTTGGACTACAAAGGATCTTTTTCTCAAGTTTTTAATAGTTAAAATCAAATGAACACATTTACCTCTATATGCCAAATTCCCTTTATATGTCACAGTTTCAGTTTTAATATAACTCTGTTTATGTAAGTTTTCATATTTGCTTAAACAATATATGTTGTATGGGTTTTCAGTGATTTATTAAAAAATGAAAGACTTATGATGAGTATAAGAACATTTTAATGGAGTTGTTTAAAAGAATGAGATTGATTTTCTTTCTTTTTATTCACTTTGGTTTTTATAATAAAAATCCCCATCAAGTGTTGTTTTTATATATAAGCCAGTTCAAAATATCTTTGTACAAAGGCCTTTTAATTTTCCTTTTTAATGCTTAAGGATTTTTTTTGTTAATATTAAGTTGTTACACATTTTATAAATGAATGAACCCTTTTTTAATCTCTTGGGTTTGATGCATGATGCTTTAGATTTTGTTTTTGTATGTTTCATATTCAATATACAGTGTTGATTTATAAATTGCCCTTTGAAGCCTAATTGTGTGTATTTTATATGAAGTTTTTGTATTCTGTGTTTATACGTTTACTAAGATTTATATCGATATGTAATAAATCAATTAATAATAAAAAGGTGGCTTGGTTTTTTTTGTTCTATCATCCCCATATATGCTGGAGTAAACATAGTAAAATGTGGATAATTGTTGTATTTCTATTAGTATTTTAAAGTAATAAAATTGTGTCTAAATCTCAAACCGGAAATACCTTGTTACATATGAATGGTTGTCATAATATGCTACAGATTTATCAATTTTATTTTAATATATTTTATTTTGAAAAATTTCTAAGCACAGCAGCGGAAGAGGCGGGACTTCCGTCTTCAACGCTCCCCCGGCGTTGGTTCATTCAACATGGCAGCGGGACCAATTTCGGAAAGAAATCAAGGTAATTTCATCCTTTAAAATATGTTTTTGATGAATATCTCTCACTTGTTTTGACATGTGCTTATGAGTAAATCGTAATATAATTTCTCGGCGGTTTTTGAGCATCGTTTAGTGGAAAACATCCGCTTCAACACATGGAAGTGTTTGAAGTGTTGTTAGCTTAGCATTTTGCTAGTTAGCTTCTTTTAATTCGTAAGAAATGTAATTCACGTGTCGTATCAAACAGAAGCACAATGGTACTGTAAGTTATAATGCGGGCTATGACAATGTCAAACTGCTGCTTTTTAGCATATAAAGTTAGCTTAGAGAATTGGCACGTCATCGCATTTAGCGCAACTCATAAACCTTAGTAAACAGTATTGATCTTTTGTTCACTATTTTACAAGCTGGATAAAATATACTGCTTATAATGTAATTAGGAATGTTAGGAATATTTTCAGTAAGTTGCAAGTCAAAAATTGTATTTTGAATAGCAGGCAAAAGACTCGAAAGTGCCAATCCTAACAGAAATGAGTAGTTTTAAGCGGACTGCACAGCGAGTATTGTTATAAAAAAATTGTGAATTTATTGTAAAAAAGGTAGCAGCGGGTAATTTTGTGATTAAGAAAACTAGTTCTTTCTTTTAACTAATGATTATTGGTATTTCAATCTTTTGCAGAACGAGTCATTTAATATTGTTGTTTAATATTTTCTAAAGCTCAAAGCTGTTATCAAAACCAAACTAGCATCTGTCGATGAAAGATGAGTTTTATTAAAAATGTGAGAGGTACAACCTGATAAATATACTGCCAAGATGTAACACAACACCGTTCTTCTGTAAAAAGTTTAAATTGCTACATTTTTATCTTGTCAATTTTCAGATGCGACTGTGTACGTTGGAGGCTTGGATGAGAAGGTGTCAGAGCCGTTGCTGTGGGAGCTGTTCCTGCAGGCCGGTCCTGTGGTCAACACACACATGCCCAAAGACCGGGTCACTGGTCAACATCAAGGTCAGCGACAACTTGCAGGCTGTTTTTCTCAGTGGACAGTAAAACATACAAACTTTTAGCTCATTTGGATGCATATGTCCTTTCTGTGTCTGAAGTAGAGAAATTCGTTTTTAAAAAATATGAGAACGCAGCTGAAATCTGCCTATGATGAAGTTTGAACATGTATAGCTTGGAACAGAGCTAGTTTTATTGGTCAGAAATAAGAACGATGTGTTTTTATGACACTGTCATTAAGAAATGTAACTGTTATTTTTCTCAGGTTATGGCTTCGTGGAGTTTCTTAGTGAGGAGGATGCTGATTATGCCATAAAAATCATGAATATGATAAAACTCTATGGCAAACCAATTAGGGTCAATAAGGCCTCAGCACACAACAAAAACCTGGACGTGGGTGCAAACATCTTCATCGGTAATTTGGACCCGGAGATTGATGAAAAACTTCTCTACGACACGTTCAGTGCGTTTGGTGTGATCCTCCAAACACCGAAGATCATGCGAGACCCCGACACGGGCAACTCTAAGGGTTACGCTTTCATCAATTTTGCCAGTTTCGACGCTTCGGACGCGGCTATCGAGGCCATGAACGGCCAGTACCTCTGCAACAGACCCATCACAGTGTCATATGCATTTAAAAAGGATTCCAAAGGGGAACGCCACGGTTCGGCCGCAGAGCGACTGCTGGCTGCACAGAACCCGCTCTCCCAGGCCGACAGGCCGCACCAGCTGTTCGCAGATGCTCCGCCCCCGCCGACTGCACCGACACCAGTCCTCACTGCGATGGGAACAGCAATGCCCATTCCAGGTATGACTTTTGTGTCGAGTTCAAGCATTTTTCAGTATTGTTTTTGAACATTTGTTCAACATTCAGTTTGACTTCTTTTATTTTGTTTTTTTTGTACAGGTCTCCCGCCTCCTGGTGCTTTTCCTCCTGTTCCCCCACCTGGAACGATGCCCCCAGCAATGCCGCCTTCTATGGGCATGCCTCCAACAGCAGGAGGTGTTCCACCAGTGTCTGCTGGCGGACCTCCACCTGGACCGCCACCGTTCCCTCCTGGCAACATGCCTCCAGGTAAAACTTGGGGCTTTCAGATGCAGCTAAAACTGTCATTCCCTGTCAAGGAAATCAAAAGAAAACCATTTTCTCATTCTGTTCCACAGGTATGCCTCAGATGCCCATGCCGCCTCCTGCTCCTCCTGGCATGGTGCCTCCACCTCCAGCTCCTCCAGGATCGGCTCAGAGGGCTCCACTGCCCCCCAACATGCCACCACCACCAATGGGCATGCCTCCCCGGGCGCCATACCCCATGGGTGAGCGCTGCTCTTACATCTTAACCTACAGCGTCCATCAGGAATCTTTATTTTTAATAAATAAAATACTTATTTATTTAGGTAATAAATAGGTAATCTATTACCTATTTATGTAAGAAAAGGTAAACTTGGCCTGCCTTGCCTTGATTTACAGGAAATCAAAGAACAACCAACCAACATCTTAAAGCTTTAAAAAGCGTTGTGTAATAAGAAACAAATGCAAACCTAATCTTCCATCTCAAGCTGCAGTCACCATTAACCGCCGGGCAAACAGTTCATTAGTGAGACGCTTTAATCAAATGCATCAGTAAACAATTAGGTTTTGGTCCTGATTCAACAGAGCAAATAGTTTCTGCACATCTCAGGTTTTCAGCAGGTTTGTTCCAGAGTGATGGACCATAAAAATGCTAAAAGTCTAAATGCAAAAGTCTGAATGTGCTTCAGATCAGAACCACAGCTTGTTGGAGGTTTAAATGCTGTAACTCTTAATGCTGAATATTGTGACCCCTCTTTTTGTTTCCCCTCAGCTCCTCCTGTCCCTCCAGGTATGAGGGGGCCTCCTCCTCCCATGCCTCCGCCTGGCTACGGCGCGGCTCCTCCTCGTCCGCCTCCCTTTGGTTTTCAGAGAGCGCCTCCAATGCCACCCAGGCCCCCAGGCGCCCCTCCTCGGGTGCCTTAAGAGCACCGTGACCCACGGTAGACAGCATGAAACAGCTGCTGTTTAGCTTCTTTTTTTTTAAACATGTTTAGGGCTACAACTGTAGCTTTAGTGTTTCTTTGTTGTTGTTTTATTTTCATAATTTTTTGATCATTGTACAGATTAATGCAACTTGGCAAATAAATTTTTACAAAAATTTCTTTTTTGTGTGTTTTTGTATGGTTCTTGATCTATCAGAGAAAGAAAATCATTGCATTTCTTTATTTTATTAAAAGACTGATTACTCAGCATGACAATTCATCAAAGTTTGAAATTCTTAAATATAAAGTGTGGGGAAATGCTTTTTGTCAATTTTATTGTTTTGCAATCATTTAGGGTTTAAATTAATTAATTGCACACCCCACTGTGTAATTATGGTAATTTTTGATCCGTTTTGTTTTTCAGCAACTAAAGACTCTGGCCTTCTTTTGTTCCAGAAATCTGCTGGCAGTATGGTGGCGTTCTGAGAGCCGAATTAATGAGCTTGTTGTATTCACTCTTGTCCTGCTGTGACATTTTACCAGGTCATGGAGAGAAAGGAAAGGCGTTAACAATAAAAGCAGTAATTCATGGTTTTATATCAGAAAGGGCATTAGGCTAGATGTGAAGCAAAGAACAAATGATTAAGAGTGGAAGTGATGTAAAATTCAGTGCGGTTGGGCTTATAATGTCTGGAGTAGACTTCTATTAAATAAGTCGGCTTATTTCCAATGGTACATTTTTCTAGGTCCTCCTTGTTTTCAAGCTATTACTTGGCAATATAACGTTTGGATGGATCTCTTCAACATGGAGTAAATACATTTGTTAAAACTGCATTTAAAAGTCTGAACAGTAAACGTCCGAAGTTACTTTGCAAACTACACTTAATTTGTGCTGATTACAGAATTTGTCACATGCAAACATTTTTTTCAACAAAATTATACAATTCTAAACGATGCCTAGTTTCTACTCTCTAATTTAAGGAGATGAAGGATTGATCAACTAAGATCTTAACAGAATATTTTGTAAATCTCCATATTCTGTATAAGTCATGAATTATGCTCCAACTATCTGGGATTGTGGGTAATTGCTCCTGGAGGCACATATAAAGCATTCAATTAATCTCTAAAAACATTTTATATTTATTCAATATTGGTCATGAAAGTAGTGACATAATTGCTCATGCTTCTCAATTCAATAAATATTCCTGTTAATGGCATCGTCCATAAGTTGCACAATAGTAAAATAGTTTTTTTGTGTGAAATCAATTCATT